CAAACAATATCTTTTCTATTCTCCACTGTAAAAATTATTATTATTATTATTACATTTTATAGGGGATTGTTTTTTTTTGTTTTAATGATGATTGATAAGCAAATATAAATAGCAAAATAGCAAATTTGACGTAAAAACATAAAAACTAAATCTGTTTTGTGTTAATGTGACATGTTTCTGTCCGATATTACATGTTCCATGCATACTGCCACTATAAATAAAGCCCTCGGGTCTAAAAAGTTTGCCCACCACTATGCTAGGGTGTTTGGGATGGTTGCCAAGGTGTTGCCATGTAAGTCTTAGGGTGTTTGGTGTGGTTGCCAAGGTGTTTTAAGCCGTTTCTAGGGTGTTCTGTTCGGTTGTCAGGTTGTTGCTTTTTCAGTTTTTCCTGATGTTTGTTATGCAGTTTCTAAGTTGTTCCAGCATTTGTCAGGGTGCTGCTTAGCAGTTTCTAGAGCTTTTTTAGAGGGTGTTGCCAAGGTGTTGATAATGCTTCATAGTTGATTGGGTGTTCTGAGAGATTGTCAGGGTGTAGCTGTGCAAATCCTGTGGTTATTTATGTGTTTCTATGCGGAGTCAGGGCAGTTGATAGGGTGTTGCTATGCTGTTCCTAGGGGATTCTGGGTGGTTGGAAAGGTGTTGCAGTTTCTATGGTGTTTAGAGTACTTGCCATAGTATTCTTAGTTATTTACTTTACAATATCCAAGGTTTTCTGGGAGTTGCCATGCTGTTTGTGATAATCTAAAATGTGTGTGCAATATTAGTAAGGCTTTCCTCAGAAAACACTACTAATAAGTGTTCTTTGTTAGTTTGTTACCATTGGGCATTGCTGAAATGAATCCTTTAACAAGATTACCCATAAAGCTTATGCAGCAAAACCCAGCGTGCACATGTGATTTCATATATGTGTGTGTGTGTGTGTTATTTGACACTCTGGCGGTTTTCTTCCAGCCACATCTTTTGTTCTGTGTTTTTGTTGTAAAAGGAGTTTCCTGACGTCGGTTCCCCTTTGATTCTACAGCAGTTTTTTTTTGTAGGTGGTTGCTGTATCTGTGAATCAAGACTGAACTATAAAGGTTACTTCAGTCAGACATTTACAACACTACCAGCCCACGGGCATCTCTGTTAAATGACTCAAACTGTCTTTCGGCTGCTGTTAGTCGGAAAGCAAACTTTGTTCACCCACATTCACATGCTGTGAACTTTTAGTTTATCATCTGCACAGACGGAGACGGCGTGGGTGGGGGTCAAATGAAATTGCATGCAGTTCACGCCTCTGCAAGTGGCTCAAACCGCTTTCGGGCTTAATTGGTAGAAATTAAAACCAGAAACCCATTTCTGTTGACTTGCATGTAAACAGCTGCTAAAGTGTTTTAAATTGCGTAAATGGATAGAGCAGGATTCTTTCATGTGGTGATATCTGCCTGGTTTTATTTGAGTCAAATATAAGTTGTAATATTTACACCAATGAGTAGCAAACACAAATGAAGATATTGGAAAATTCTCATAGGTCAAAACTTTAAAGTCTAATACTGTTTTTTTTAATAATTTATTTAGTATTTAGTTTTTAAGCATATTTTTTATCATGATTTACAGAGGATACCAACTAAAATGTCAACGTAACAATAGTTTATTTGTTAAAAATGTTGCCAGACATGTTTAAATCAGGAATCATTTTCATTTCATTTTCCTTCGGCTTAGTCCCTTTATTCATCAGGGGTCTCCACAGCAGAATGAACCACCAACTTATCCAGTATATGTTTTGCACAGCAGATGCCCTTCCAGCTGCAACCCAGTACTGGGAAACACCCATAGACACTCATTCACACTTATACACCATGGCCAATTTAGTTCAATTCACCTATAGCGCATGTCTTTGGACTGTGGGAGAAACCGGAGCACCCCAACCCACGCCAACACATGGAGAACATGCAAACTCCACACAGAAATGCAAACTGACCCAGCTCGGACTTGAACCAGAGACCTTCTTGCTGTGAGGCGACAGTCACTATGCCACCCTTCAAGAATCATTTGACATAAAAAGGCTCAGTTTAAGGATCTTGTTGTATCCCAAAATACTCATTGTCATTTTAAACCTTTATACTTTGGCAGTTAGCACTATCAAGTATTTAATCATTTAAAATATAATCCAATTTTGTGTAATCACTTATTATTTTATATATTATAACAAATATGCATCAGAATAACTGTTGTTTTATTTTGACATAAATATATCAAAGTTCCTGAAAGCAAAGAAGGTCAAGGTGCTCCAGGATTGGCCAGCCCAGTCACCAGTTGTGAACATTATTGAGCATGTCTGGGGTAAGACAAAGGAGGAGGCATTGTAGATGAACCCAAAGGATCTTGATGAACTCTAGGAGTCCTGCAAGAACTATTTCTTTGCCATTCCAGATGACTTTATTAATAAGTTAGTCATTGCAGAGATGTATGGATGCAGTCCTCCAAGCTCATGGGAGTCATACAAAGTATTAATTCTTTATCCACTGCACCATGACTATATTTTCTATACTGAACATTATTTCTGTTAAGTGACAAGACTTTTGTCTAGGCAAAGTCAGACCTTACTGTCCTAATTAAATAACTTAAAATCAAAGATCATATTTTCTTTTGGTAAAATAAGCGTAATCTAGAGGCCTTTGCCTTTAATATTAGCCACTTTTGATACCAAATGATCTACTAGAAGTTAAGTTATTATTTGTTGTTCCTAAAACTTGGATTGGCGACTTTTGTCAGGTAGTGTATATCATCAAAACTGGAGTTTTTAAACAACAGCAAACTAATAATGTTCATATATTAATTTTACTAAGTCTTTAAAAGTACATTATATTTAAATAATTGGATTGTTTCATATACCAGCAATATTTCAACCATTTAACAATTAACACGTTTGCTAGATTTGTCCTACCCTATCTACTGTAGGTATGTTCGTTAATGTTAAAAAATAAATAAATAAGTCAAGTAAATTTGTCATTAAGTTTGATGATTTGGGTTAAGTGGTATATATTTTGCACTTCCAATCTTCAGTTAAGGGCACATAGTGCGTGTCGATGCTTCATGTGTTTCATGCTGCATTTTCAGGGCACAAAAGTTTCTGTGCACTGAATGAATTTTGTGATTTGCTGCTAATAATTTTGACTTTAACTGCATATAAAACTACTTTTGTGAATATAATCCAATGCAAAGACCAACCCATGCGTCCTCTAGTGTGATTATTAGCTAGTCTTGTTGTATTATAGCAAACTTCCACAATCAGCATCAATGATAACACGCGTCATGTTGACTAAAAGGGACACAAATTGCTTAAACAGGAGATTAAGCTGAGTGTTACTGCAGCAGAATGTTTCAGGCACCAAAAATACACTGTGATGGGATGCATTTGCTATGTCAAGGTCTCACTCTGGCCTTGTGTGTGATTTCACACTTCAGGGAAGAGAAAGGACGAACACACAGAAAGAGCAATTAATGACTTTCTGTTCAGACTCTGTGGTAAATTGCATAAAGTGAATAGAAATTTTCTTTTGTTTTTAGATGAAACAAGCTGTTGCATAACTGTTCTTCTTTAATGGGCTGAAAGCGACTGGAATGTGTTGGACTTTTATTAAAGGAATGTTCAGAACAATTCAGGGTTAAAACTGTCAGCGTGCGTGACATAAAAAAGCCAAAAAATGCCTGTCAAAAGTTTATGATTTATTCATATGATGAATCTGTATTTAATATATAAGTAAATGCAACATAGGCTCATTCTGAAAACGCAGCCCTATATACATTTTTGGAGATCGCGAAGTATTTAGCCTGAGGTATGTATCATCACCTTGGAATTATAAGGTTTTGTGTGCGTTCTGAATGACTTTGAGATATTGAACTTTAAAGTTTTTGCAGTCCATAGCAAATGTGTGTAACATTTGTTTTTAAATAAAAAGTCTTAAAATGTAAACGACTTATATAAGAACATCTCATAATGTAAATAAGTTGTCATTTAATAAAAATATGTCAATAGCTCGATTTTGACAAAAATGTCAGATAGAACCTTATAATTCTAAGGTGACGGTATGGCTGCATTTAGTCTTTCAAATGAATGATACAGGGCAGCATGATGCTGTTGCTTTGCATGCTTACAGGCTGCCCACTTACCTCTGAAAAGACAGCTTTCCAGCTGTTACCAGTTTGTCCAGTGGCTCGTTGGCAGACTTGAGATGTAAATAGACCACGAGTTGGCCGCGGGTTTGAGTCTGATGACATGAAATAAAAAAGTAAATAACAGGGTGAGAATGTGGTAAAATCTGAAAACGTGGCAAACATCAGGTGAGGGCTTTCCTTTTCTGGATTTTTTTTAAAGAAGTCAATTGGGTTAAGAGAAATGGGTGCGCTGGTCAACCGGTGGTTTTGAAAACACTATTGGTTGGGTTTAGGGAAGGAGGAAGGTGGGTCAGTCATTCGGTCTGTCATTCAGTCAGGACAGGTGCCTCTGGTGGATTTAGATGAGAACAGCAGGCGCGAATGGTACTCAAATTTGAGATCTGAAAAAGCATACACAGCAGCCTCTGGTGGATTCGTGAAAACAAAAATCGCAAAAAAAGTAGCAACAGTACGCTAGTAAATGCTGTCAAGTACAGCAGTACGCTTTCAGAATGAGCATGGGTTGGATTGTTTAGTAGTCCAGGGCCACATATCCTCATTTTGTGTGTAATTTTTTACTTTTTTTAACGGTTTTAATGAAATCTGTGATAAATTTATTTTAGATTTTTAAAAATAAAAAATATTTCTGAATAAAGTCTAATGAATGAAGTCTAAAAAATAACGTTTATTCATTGAGTAAAAACAGGAATTTCTTCAATGCATTCACTCTCATTTTTAATCAGTTTATCCTTGCAAAATAAATGCATTAATGTCTAGGAAAAACTTGTAACACATGAACACTGAACATTTATATCAAGTATACAAAAAGGTAATGATCTGCATGTGTTTTCTGATTTCTTTAGATTCTGTACGAGTGTCCTAAAGCTCAGAGGGAAGTTGAACTACACTGGCGAGTGTCTGGAGGGCAGCATATAGTCCGCATCCTCAGCCTCTATGAAAACATGTATCGTGGGAAAAAGTGTCTTCTCATAATCATGGAATGGTGAGTCATGTCACTGATAAAACGTCATTTCCCATCATGCTCGGCTTCCAGAAATAGTCCAGCTCAAATAGTACAGTCAAGCTCCTTGAATAGTGGCATTTTTTTTTAATTCTTTTTGACAGAAATACAACATGGGGGAAAAAGATCTTGTGTCACAGTCTTGTTCTGAATGGAGGTTTCACTTCTCTTTTCTGCTAATAATATATATTTTTTTAAATTCTCTTTTAGTTAGACTGCATTATTTCAGTTTCGAGTTTTCAGAACTATAAAGCGAAACTACCTATCAAATATGACGGTATTAAGAGAGTGTAGTCTTGTCTGAGTCATCAGTGTGTATTTTGATAATTATTTTAAAAGATTGTAAATTCATTTTGGCTATTAACAAACATCTCTTTTTTTATATGTAATGTTTTATTAATATAATACAAGCAAGAGTGAAATCCTCCCAAATATAAGTGCAAAAGCTTGTCTGCAATTGTGTATTACAAAATATCAATTTTGTCAAACAGTTCAGCAAACAAGAGGCCTTATTTATCATTCATTCATTTTCTTTTCGGCTTAGTCCCTTTATTTATCTGGGGTCGCCACAGCGGAATGAACCGCCAATTTATCTAGCATATGTTAAACGCACCGGATGCCCTTCAAGCTTCAAGTTATCTTTGGGAAACATCCACACACACTCATTCACACTCATACACTATGACCAATTTAGCCTACCCAATTCACCTGTACTGCATGCCTTTAAATGTGGGGGAAACCAGAGCACCTGGAGTTAACCCACCCAAACACAAAGAAACGACAGCTGACTCAACCGAGGCTCGAACCAGCAACCTTTTTGCTGTGAGGCAACAGCACTACCTTCTGCGCCTCCGCATCATCATTTTGAGTAAACCATTTGAACAAATGATTCAACAGATCGACTTCAAGACACTTGCAAGGACTTTCCACATATACTTTAAATTTTAGCATCATATTTATTGATCCATGAGAGGCCAGCTATTAACCCAAAAACACACTGAAGTCAAAATATTGTTTAAATATAATTATTGTAATATTCATTTCTTTTTAAAATATAATTTTTGAGAAAAAAAACTGTATTTTGATCACTTGACCACTAGAATGAAGAGGACACTAAATGTGAAAGATTTCAGCTTTAAAGTGCACTAAATAAAGTACACTACACTACATATTTTCACATTATGAGTGTATTATTTTTATATGTAGGGCTGGTTGGGTATTAATCCAGATGTCCTGATTCAGTTATAATTTCTAGTTGATTCATTTGAATCTCGACTTGAATTAATCATAGCAGATTTAACAAAACTCAAAAATGAATCATTAGTTTGGAGATGGTGAGGTTTTGAAAAGTAATCAACAGCTACAAATCTGTATATTACATTCTTTTTATTTAAGGTAAACATGGGTACTTAAAAACAACCTGTGTCATAATAAATAAAAACAAAGTTATAAATCACATTGTTTTTTTATTTGTCGCATTTAGTTGACTATATATGTGCTGTGGGTAAAAGGTGTTTCAATCCGGCTACCACTGCATATATATTTCAAACCTGTGGGAAGCACTGGAGTGTGTATGAATGTGACTGTGTTTCCTAGTACTGGGTTGTAGCTGCTTTATAACATATGCTATAGGCATATAAGTTGGTGGTTCATTCCGCTGTGGCGACCCCTGATGAATAAAGGGACTAAGCTGAAGGAAAATTAATGAATGATTTATAAAGTGACAAACAGCAAGCTTAGAATGTTTATATATGATAAATGTGAATTTGTCACTGTTTTGTCCCACACTTGCATATATCCTTGAGACTAACATACTGATACTAACATTTAAAAAACTTGATCTTAATTTCACCGGACCTTTAACAGACTTAAACAGAAAGCAACAGAGCTTTGATTTAAATTTGATGTGGTGTTTCATCAAGCAGCAGCTCTGAGTGCTGTATGAAGTGCTGCGATGGGCTTTATCTGAAAGATTAAGTGCTCCTCTCAGAGAGCGACAGTCACAGGCAGTCACACACTTACACACACACACACACACACACACACACACACACACACACACACACACACACACACACACACACACACACACACACACACACACACACTTAAACACACTTACACACACACACACAGAAGAGCTCCAGTCATTCATTAGAACTCATTTCCACTCTTCCTTCTGCTTTTGGACATTTTTGGCAATGATGTGATTCATTATTTATTAACCACGTAGTTATGTTAGAAAAAAAATCTCAGCTGGGAAAGGAATGCAACTTATTGTGATTGTGTATTTGTGCATTAAGCTAGATAATTATTGAACGTGTGTGTATATATGTGTGTGTGTTTGTCAGTATGGAAGGAGGAGAGCTCTTCAGCAGAATTCAGGCCAGAGGTGACCAAGCTTTCACAGAGCGAGGTGAGTTATGTATGTTTTGCAACACACACACACACAATTGCTGCGTTTCGTAATGGTTTTTATAATGTACACACTGTATATTCTCCCAACCTTCTCCTCAACCATCAGAACACATGCAGTTTTAGAATGTCAAAATACTTAATTCTGTTTCATTTATGAGCGATTCTTCTCATGGGGACCAAAAATTGTGCTCACTAGGTTAAAAATTAAAGTTACTAAGTTAAAGTTAGCTAAGCTAGTAAAAATTTACTATGCTTGTGGGGACATTAAAGGGTCCCCATAACGTTATGAATACAAGGTGCGTGCACGCATCCACACACTCTCACTCTCACACACACACACACACACACACACACACACTCACACACACACACACACACACACACACGCACACACACACACACACACGTTTGTTTCTGTGAATTGTGGGGACATTACATACAGTAGGTTTCCATTGTTTTTCTACATCAGCAATGTCCTCATATTTCACCACCTTCTTGTAATACCTGTGTCATACCTACAGTATGCCATTATACAGATTTGTGTCCTGATATGTCACAAAAACACATTCACACATACACATACACACATACACACACACACAAGGGTATGTAGCATTCAAGTTGCTTTACAGACACACTATTTAAGAATGGAGTTATGTGTTTAGTTGGTCAGCTATAAAATGGAGAGGAAGTTACAGTAAATAATGCTAATTCTGCAATCTCCATGTAAAGTCCCTAGAATAATCTGCCGTATATTTTCCATTAATTTTGTAGCCGAATGAATATGACGAATATGAAAATATAAGTTTACTATGAATATGATGAGGAAAATAATTTGTCATAATTTATATTGGTTGGTAATTTTGAGGAAGTTATTATACCATATTTGTTAGTCAGCAATACATATGACAGGGAGGATCACTTCTCATATACTTTTCACTTGTTGGTTAATTAGGGAAGTGAATTTGTTGTTTAAAAAAATGTCTAAATGTTCTTTAGTTAGCTTGTTTGTTAAATACGAATATGCTGATCAAGTTGTTTTCCCTTTATTTCAATAAATCATAATTACAGTTTACAACATTGTAATAACAAAAACATGATTAGGAATAATTAGTTTTCCCATAAAGGGCGAAGTCGCCTCACAGCAAGAAGGTCGCTGGGTCGCTGATTCGAGCCTCGGCTCAGTTGGCGTTTCTGTGTGGAGTTTGCATGTTTTCCCTGCGTTCGCATGGGTTTCCTCCGGGTGCTCCGGTTTCCCCCACAGTCCAAAGAAATGCGGCACAGGTGAATTGGTTAAGCTAAATTGTCCGTAGTGTATGAGTGTGTGTGTGTGTATGTTTCCCAGAGATGGGTTGCGGCTAGAAGGGCATCCGCTGCGTAAAAACTTGCTGGATAAGTTGGCGGCTCATTCCGCTGTGGTGACCCCGGATTAATAAAGAGACTAAGCCGACAAGAAAATTAATGAATGAATGAGTTTTCCCATAAAAAAGGCAGGGTTCCACTCAATCAATTTGTGTTGGAACATCATGAAGGAATTAAGTTAACTTGTTTTTACAGTTGTCCCTCCAAAAAAACTTTCATCATTAAAGTCATTTGAACAAACAGCAAACATAATTTTTGAGTGTGTATTTCAGTTGATTAATTGGTTAAATTTTAGTTGGAATAATTTTGCTTACACTGTAATACCGAATGAGTTAAGGTAACTCAAACCATTTGAGGAAACCGATTACAACAAACCATTTAAATTCAAAAACTAATCCTAATGAGTACCTAATGAGAACTTAATCCTTTTAAGTAAACCAAGCAATTTGAGCAAAGTAAAACCCAATAAATGAAGAGAACTCAAATTAACTAAGTACTGTAAAACTCAATAAGTTAAGGCAACTCAAACCGTTTGAGGAAACCGATTGATGCAAACCATTTGATTGAAAAAAAACGAATCTATACAAGTACTGTGAACTTACTCTATTTAAGTTGAAGTAATGAGGTATTTAATTAACTCATTACTTACAACAGAGTTAAAAACTTTTTCCAAATGAGTAGAATTAACTTTCAGTACATTTTGAGTTAAATACACTTATTTCATTTCATAAAGTTGACTGTTGGGTTTTACAGCGTAGTCACTAATATGGTTAAGGTTTTGATCTGATAAGGTAATCATTTTAGAGGAAGCCACTGTATTGTACACTTAATATTTTGAGAAAGGAAATGAATATTGGAGATGATTTATGTTCACTGTTCTACCCTAATAATGATTCGTGATTGTATGATTTCTGTCCTGTGCCCACAGAGGCTTCTGAGATCATGAGAGACATCGGCACTGCCATCCAGTACCTGCACGACATGAACATCGCACACAGAGACATCAAGGTGACCAGCGAACCCTTTCTACTATCTATAACAAAGGTCTCAAACTTAATTTCCGGAGGGCCGCAGCTCTGCACAGTTTTGCTCCAACCCTAATCAGACACAGCTGATCCAACTAATCAAGGTGTTCAAGACTACTAGACGCTATTTGTAACGAAGGGTCTGACACAGAGGGATCCATTTGCAGTATGTTTATTTAACAGAGTTCAATAAAGAGCACACAGATGTTACTCGTGTGCAGACTCACATCAAACACAGTTGTATTCAGTTGATAGGCTGGCTGCAGGAAAACACAGAGTGAATAAGCAGGCATGGGTCAGAGGCAGGCGGCTCAGATCAAAGTCGGGATTCAGGCTGGGTTCGAGACAGGCGGCAGGCAAGACAAGGCTGATAAACAGTCCGGGTAAGCCACAGGTAAAGCAGGCAAGGAGTAGAGCAGGCAAGGAGTAGAGCAGGCAAGGAGTAGAGCAGGCAAGGAGTAGAACACTCAGGAGTGTTTGCAGGGGCAGAACAAGACTTTGCACTGAGGTGAGTGTTTGTGCTTCTTATAAAGGTGTGTGTGGTGATCAATGAGATGAGCTGCAGGTGTTTGTGGCAATCAGTCTTTGGGATGACGTAATGTTAGAAGTCTGGTAATGATGACCTCTGCTGGTCAGCGAGGGGAATGACTGGGACCGAGTCGGTGACACTATTAAACAGGTTTGAGTTGGAGGTGGTTGGAGCTAAAATCTGTTGAACTGTGGCCCTGCGGGAATTAAGTTTGAGACCACTGACAACAACATTACATTTAAGACTAAACTGGGAGATTACGTTAAAGGGATAGTTCACCCACAAATGAAGAATTTACTCACCCTTCAAAACCCTTTTTGAGTTTCTTGCTTCTATTGAACACAAAAGAAGATGTTTTGAAAAATTTTGTCTACTGAGACCCGTTGACTTCCATAAAATACATATTTTCCTGCTATGCAAGTCAACGTTTACCAGGATTTTCCAAATGTCTTCTTTTTGTGTTTAATAGAAGAAAGAAAAATTACAAAGGTGTAAATGATGAGATCATTTAGATTTTTAGGCGCTCAGCCCGATCTCATGAGGAAATGTAACTATTTTAGTTTGTCTAATTTCTACAAATTCGTACCATTTTATTCATATAAAAATGTATGATTTAAAAAAAAAGCATGGCCCCAAACCCCACCCCTAACCTTGCTCTTCATTGGAGGATGAGCAAAGCATACTAAAATGTATGAATTAATACAATTTGGCCACTAAATCAAAAAGCTACAAAGTGTGGTATATGCACAAGGACTTTTATTTTTCAATAAAGGCCGGCTCACACTGTGCAATTGTATTTATTTATTCATTTTTTAAAATCCTGAACGATTGTAGCATGTTGGACTGCACGAACATTGCTCCCATGTTACACTGTAATATCTCAGCTGTCATAAAGACAGACTGAACAACAATAAAGGCTTGTCAAACATGAAAGAAAATGCTCCCGGAGTTTGACGTCATTAACCTGTGACACTTTCACTATCCCACGTTCTGAAATGATTCCTCACAGCAAACATAAACAATCTGTAGCGGCAATTTTGCAAACGGTGTGTCTCAATAATCAAACCAGGAAGAAACAAACAGTTTTGATATTTCCCCGTGGTCACTAGAATTGTCGCATGGATTGCGTCATCAGATTCTGCGCTCCTATTGGTTCTTGGATTGACGCTCATTACAGCTATTGTCTCACTGCAGGAAAGTGTCTGAAATCTTCTGACACTGCCAGAACTTCATCAGAGAAAAAATTTGATCAGTACAGACCTTAAGCAGCTGTCTGTGAACATGTCAAAAAAAGATAAGAGATTTTAGTCTCGGATTTCAGGAATCTTTTAGGATTTCCCAAATTTGTCTTAAATGACAAAATCATATAGCTGAAATCTCACAGTGTAAGCCAGCTCAAGCACTTTTAGTTCTAGTCTAATTTACCATTGTAAAATGGCTGTGTTTAAGATCTGGTTTCTTTCAAAATCAATGATCTTCACTGCCTGATTGATAAACAATATTAAGTGGGTCTCAGAGTGAACTATAAGCACTGCATTAAATTCTATTGTTCTGCACCATTTCTTTAAATGATGGAAATTTATTTCACCACAGGATTTTCATTTTGGAGTTTTAGCATTTCCTGCTGCTCCTTATGGCACTTGCCTTTAAATTTTAATTTTAATTAAATTATTTAATTGATGCTGTCAAAGGAAGCTTATGAAATTAAAAATACTCCACATAAACTAGAAGCTGCGACCCCTTTTTTTGTATTGTGTCGCAGTTTCTAGAGACATGAAATATTAAATGAGAAAACTGTGAAACTGAGAAAACTGCTTGTTTTTTACTGGGAGCTTATTGAATGCAAGCTGATTGAATGTAGTAAAGTAGGCATTTTATTCAGAAAGATCAGGAAATGGGTTTTAGAAGAGTCATTACAACCTAACAGACTAACAGTTGAAGGGGCATGGTTAAGTATGTTAGCCACTCCCAATACCTTAAACAGACCTAATCTGAGAATTGAACTGAAAACAAACAGGAAGTGCATTTTTAGATTTCAATTAAATATTACAAGGGCAAACCATTTTCTTTCTTCATGACGTGCACAGATGAATTGCTCACCACAAAACTAGCAACGTGAGCTAACAAAGTCATATGGCTAGTTTTTATTTCATGTGTACTTCACCAGAAGTTTATCGGTGGCTGAAAAACACTTGCGGTGTGCATAGCCTGTTACTTTTAGATTGCATTGGTGAACTATCCCTTTAAAAAGCAGTATACTGTTGGCAATGTCATAAGCATGTGATCTGTCTGTCCTCCTCAGCCGGAGAACCTGCTGTACACTAGTAAAAACGACACAGGAGTCCTCAAACTTACAGACTTTGGCTTTGCTAAAGAGACATCACTCCATAACCCCTTACAGACGCCCTGCTACACGCCGTATTATGTAGGTCAGTATAAGATACACAACACTCTTGTTAGGGGAGGCTCCTTTTACACACTCATTTTTTTCAGTTTGATCCAATATACACTTCTAAGAGTTTCTTTAGAGTTGCACTCTATCAGCTTGTGTATGTAGATTTCAGTTGTAATACATTTTTAAAGGTTGTTTTCTCTACTTAAGTTTTTTTTTTCCTGCGTTGAGCCATAAATCTTCACTTCAGATGCATTAAAACTTTATAGTTTTATTTACATCTGTATTCTGAAGGTTGCTGCAGAAGGATTTGCTCATACATAATGTCTGATCATATTTACATGTTAAGCTATGAATAATTGTGAAAAAAGCATTCTGGCTTTTTGCAGTATTTTCAGAATTAGTGATGAAATGAGATTCCCAAAATCCTTTTAATAAAATAATTTTACTTTATTATCTTTTACAAAATTAAACAAGGATTTCTTTTTATAATTCATTTTTATAGATTTTTTAGGAACATATATCCAGTGAAAAAAAATATGTAAAAAGCAAAACATCCCCACAACATGATGCTGCCGCCCATACTTCACAGTTGGGATGGTGTTCTTAGGCTTGTAAGCTTTCCCCTTTGTCCTCCAAATGTAACACTGGTCATCATGGCCAAACATTATCTTAGTCAGACCATCAGACCACAGGACATGTCTCCAAAAATTATTCTTTTTCCCTGTCTAATTTAGCAAATTGTAATCTGGCTTTTTTGTTGATTCTGGCTTGTTGATTTTCCCATGTTGTCACACAAGGAAGCAGTGTGTTTGAGGCTTTCCTTAAATACTATTCTGCAGTTGTGCCTCCAATTAACTCAAATGTTGTCAATTAGCCAATCAGAAACTTCCAAAACCTTGACACCCTCATCTGAGCTTTTTCAGAGGCAGAATAATCTTATTGTATGTAAACTTGACTTTCAAGAACAGTTATAATAATTTCTTAAAATAATATCTCTCTCGTTATTCTACTTTTAAGCATAACAGAAACAAATATGATAATCCTAACTTACCTAAGAGAAAAAAGTTTAGTCACATTTACATCTGACTTTTTTTAAATGGTTATGTGCATTTTTATACAGTGTATGTACACTTCTAGTTTCAACTGTATGTACAACCACACTTACTATACACAGAACGGTAACAAATAGCTTATGGCACCACAGTAGCTCACTCGCTCGCCAGGTTAACTGACAATGAGCTTGCGTTTGGGGCTGCCTTTTAAAGGTTAAGCCCCACCCCTTTGACATTAAGCAACATTCATTTATTAAAAGGTAAGTATAACATCTGTACAAGTTCACTATTTAAAACACATTATACACCAAACATTCATTCATTCATTTTCTTTTCAGCTTAGTCCCTTTATTAATCCAGGGTCGCCAAAGCAGAATGAACCGTCAACTTATCCAGCAAGTTTTTATGCAACGGATGCCCTTCCTGCCGCAAATACACCAAACTTTCATAACTAATTAATGTAAAATAAAATATATGAACATACAGATATAAACATATAAACATGAATATATACATAAATACATACATAATTCATTAATACATAACACACACACACACATACACACACACATACATACATACATACATACATACAGTACATACATACATACATGTATGCCTACATACATACATACACACATATATACATACATACATACATATATACATACATACATACATACATGTATGCATACATACATACACACATACACACATACATATATACATACATACATACATACATACATACATACATACATACATACATACATACATACATACATACATACATACATACATACATACATACATACATACATACATACATACATACATACATACATACATACATACATACATACATACATACATACATACATACATACATACACATATACAGTGCATAAAAATATATAATCAACCACAACTAAAATAAAAGGTTGCCAGACATATTCTCTCAGTGATGCATTATAACCTCTGTAATTATGTAAATGTTCAAATCTAAAAAATATATTTTGTGGTTGAGGAGAAAGTCAGCCATTCCTTTCAAAGCTCTACCTGTATGATCGGAAATCAAAGATTTCAAAGGATTTTATCCCATGTTCAGATTTTTTGAGGTAGAAATGTATGCAAATTAGTGCATATTTCATTAAATCATACCTCATTTGCAAATTTAAACTTAATATTTTAGAAAAGATTTGCAATTTTTTATGTAATCGGTTAACTGAAGAATCATAAGTATAACTATTCGTAAACCTGCAGTTAAACAAAGCTAAAGAGAACGTTCTGTTTGTATATGCTGTGTGTAAATAAATAATGAAGACTAACACTGTCCCTGCTAATGTAATCAAATGCTGTTGTTTTCCCTCACAAGCCCCGGAGGTTTTAGGCCCTGAGAAATACGACAAATCATGTGATATGTGGTCTCTGGGTGTGATCATGTACATCCTGTAAGTAAAGCTGTTAAATAAAGCCTTCGCTGTATAATATTTGAACTTCTAATAAATGAGCTGAAACTGATCTGTTCTTCTTTATGTTGCGTGAAGGTTGTGTGGTTTTCCGCCTTTCTACTCCAACACAGGACAGGCTATTTCACCGGGAATGAAGCGGCGTATCCGCATGGGCCAGTACGAGTTTCCAAACCCTGAATGGGCTGAAGTGTCTGAGGAGGGTGAGCTGCTTTTTATGTTTGTGTTTTGCACTCAGTTAAATGACATGTTTGTTGTTAACCACCAGAGGGCAGTGTTTTATTTCACTTTAGTTTTGATTGTCACATTCTTGAGTGCATGTAGCCTTTGGTTGTATGTACAGTTATAAATGATTCCTGTTTTACAGTTTAGAGGAAAGTATACTGTAGCTCTTGCATTTTTTTGTGTGTGTGTGTGTGTAAGTGCAGTATTCACCTGCATGTTTTGCACTTTTATAATTAATTTTTAAAGTAATAAAAATGTTTTGTTATTATTGACAATTTAATGTTATTTATAATAAACATTTATAAAATATTTACTAATATTTATAATTGTACAAAATACATTTGCATGTCATGTACACACATGCACATATGCTTAGTACAGAATCAAAGAATAATATGTAATATTATATATAACACAAATAACAAATTATTAATAATAATATTAATAATAATAATAATAATATAGATCTTAGGATTTCAGTTGAAAATGCATATATATTTGTTTTATACATAAAATATAGAGTTCTAAATATAAAAATAATAAATATTAGTACATAAGTAAATATAGAATTAATAATGATATAATAATACTAATTTAAGAATCAGTATTTCAAAGTATTGATTTGGAATAAATCAAATTTGAATAAAATATGAATATATATATATATAT